TGAAAACCAGGCCATTTTAGATTAAACTGTTTCGCTAGGAGCAAATTTTGTTGAATTTTCTATTGGATTTGGCGATTCTACCCTCCCACGTGAACAAGCAGTGACRTCATATTTGAATAGGGCAATTCCATCCATCTATAGATCTATTCCTCCCAGTTGTTTGTCTATCATCGATCCTTCTGCTCCCAACTATTTTTTTTACATTATTGCACTCCTCTTTCAGTCTCCCCTCCCACATCCATCCATCTAATTTCACATTAAGTTTGAACTGAAATTTGTTAATATTTAATTCAATTTTAAATATTTTTATATTTATGACCACAAGAATAAAGCCATATTTCAACAGAAACTATACTAACAGAGAGAAAAAGAGAGGAAAAAAAAGAAGTAAAAAAAACACACCAGAATTTGCATCATACTTGACATTTATGTATTTTCCAATTCGTCCATTAAAGATTCTACTGTAAACTGACCTGTTTCATATGTAAAACAAGAAGCATCAAGAAAACTACTAATATTTTTCTTGTTATAAAAGGTCACCGGAGAGACCTCTAGAGGCCAAAGGCTCCTGGAAGTGTCTTTCCACCTACTATGGTGTTCGTCTCCCCGGTATACAAACACCTAGTCCTACGCCATTGTCTAGGCTGTCTTGTAGATCATCATACTCCAGGTCAGCCCCTCCTTCCTTGGCCAAATCATCATCTCAGTATGCCGTAAGGAGACACATGCAAGATGAATATAAGGCTGTTGTTGACAATAGAACCCATGAGAAAACAGCTGATGATAGTAATACATGGTATGTGGTTGAACTATTACTAGCAGTCTATCCTTTCTCTGTTTTATATACTCCATCCTTATAATAGAGATCTGAACAACCCGAGATCTGAGATCCGGACAACCCGGATACTCTTCTCTTTCAAACCCCTCCCAAGAGCACTGTTGAATGAACGGAGGGGGGGAGGGGGGTTATGGTGTCTGAGAAATCAAWATTTTGCAAATATTTACATGGGATGATAAAGTAAGCATAAGGGTGTCATTTTTTTAATCGCCTAGCGAATTTCATTATATCCTTGATACAGTGCTTCCCAATCATACGCACGAAATGGTGCAATCTGTTATAGCGATATTGTTGACATTTATATCCTTGTTTATACAGGAGGCGGATCTATAAATCTAAATCGTGTCCCAGTATGCAAGTCCCTATCGGCAGAAAGTACCACAAGGCGAACAGACACGTAAGCCACTAGCTTGAGATCATTTGTTGGTGTCATGTGACGGGGGTATGGGTTGGCAGCGAACAAGAGCACTAGGAAATGGGGTTGGGGGGGGGGGGGGGGGGGGGGGGGGGGGGGGCAGCACATGGAAGGTGGTAGAGTGAAGATAAGGAATGGAGGGAAGAAGGAAGTATGGCCACGATTTCGTTGACGTCCCCTTTTTATTAGATATTCGTTGTTAATATGTTCAAAAGTATCGTTGT